AGGGGTGGGTGCAGGGGGAGCAAGGTGGGTGCAGGGGGCCAGGGGGTGCCAGGCCAGGGGAGTCGGGAGGCAGCAAGGGGGAGCCGGGAGGTGCAGGAGTCGTGCAGGAGGTTCGGGGCAGGGGAGCTGGGGTGCAGGCAGGGAAGAGCCGGGGGGTGCAGGAGACCTGAGTGCAGGCAGGGCAGAGGCAGGGCCGCTGGTCACAAGGGTCCCCGACCGCTGTGCGCGGGGACGAAGGCGCAGGGATGCATGTCCTGCTTTTTGCAGCGGTGAGCGGAGCCGAGCGTGTCCGGTCTGTCACAACGCCCGGCTCCGGCTGCCTGCAGCCCTGCCTTGCCTCGTGGCAGGAAGCAGGCAGGAGGGAGGCCAAGCCGGGGTGACCGGCCTCGGGCCACCCCGGGATCCAAACAGGACCAGGAGATAAGACAGGAGGGAGGGGGGGGGGGGGGGGGCGCCCTGCCGGGGGGGGGGGTGGTGGTGTGTGTCTGCGCAGGAGGCACCCAGTTCTGCTCTGGGGCACCTCAGCCTCCGCATTTCCGGATGTTTGGAGTAAATCTGGGTGCTGGGATTGGACTGAACCCGTGAATGCCGGGATGCCGGGGCTCGCCCTGTGTGCTTGGGCTGGGTGCGGAGCAGACGGGGGATCCAGCAGTGGATGGGGGCCACACTGACCCCCAAAACCTGCCCGAGCCATGGCCAAGCGGGTCAGCATCAACTCCGTGCTGGTGGCTTTGCTGGCAGTGTCCCGGCATGGGCGAGCTCACCGGGCACAGGCTGGTGCCCACCATGTGCCTGTCCCGCTGCTGCCTGACCTCTCTCCCTTGCAGGCAGCCGTGTTGGCCCCGAGCCACTGCCGCAGGCACCATGAGGGGTCTCTGGGCCCTCGCACTCGCAGGGCTCGTCAGCACCTGCGAGGGGAAGGAGCTGCCGCCAGCGGAAGGTAAGGGGCAGCGGGAGCGAGGGCTCGGGGTCTGCCTGGGAGCGACCCCCTCCTCGCCTATTCCTGGGTCCCTGGGGAGAGGAGGGGAGGGCTAGGTCAGACCCAGGGATCGCAGGGCAGAGGTGGCTGGGGCACACCGTGAGCCATGCTGGGTCCCCACGTGCCAGGACCGCACGCAGGGGCACGCTGGCGGCCGGAGGGATGGCTGTGGACATTGGCTCCCTGCTGAGCACCGCGGCTTTGGGACTTTGCTCAGCATCCCATGCAGGCAGGGGGCCAGGGAGAGCCGAGCGAGCCCTGCCGTGGGGAGCCAGCCCGGGGACACCCTGCCATCGCCCCCGCAGCGGCTGAGCGCCGGGAATGCCCCGCGGCCCAGGCCGTGCTCATGGAGGGAGAGTGCTTGGCCGCGCTCTGGCTGCGAGACGCTTGTTGCCAGCTGGCGGCGAAGGCAGCACCGTCCGGCAGCGCGTGCGGGAGCCGGGTCCGGGCAGGAGTGAGTGGGGGCTGCTCACGGAGTGAGTGAGGTGGGCCAGGACCACTCGGGGCAGCGGTGAGGATGCACAGAACTCCCAAGGGGATTTTGGCCTCCGGCTGGAAGGTGGGAAGAGGTTTGGCCATGGTGCATGCCAACAGTGGAGGGCTCAGGGCTGTCACCATGCGGCTGGGGACAGGGGGACGATGACTGAGCCCATGGGGGTCCCGGCCAAGGAGTCCCTGGCTGCGGGGCTGCTGTGCATGGGTCCCGGCGTGAGGCCGGCCGCAGCTCGGGGTGAGCTCAAGGCAGATGGTGGGGAGGAGCTGCTGGCAGCGAAGCGGCGGTTGCATCAGTCTTTGCGGGGGTGGAGTGGTGGCTCATCTCAGCGGGGCCCCGGGGGCTGCCCGGCTTTGCCCATGCAAGGGACCCCACGGCTGGCACCGGCACCCACTGTCCCGCGTGGCACGGCTGCCTGGCTCCGGGCCCTTCGTTAGGGAAACGAGGGTTGGGGAGACAAGGTTTTCCCTTAGGGGCAGCACTGGGGCCAGGAGAGGCTTCAAAGCAGATCGCAGCCGGGGTGATGTATGCCTCACTTTCCGCCCCCTGCCCCGCTGCGGATGATCTCACTGCCGGCGGGAGGGAGCTCTGCCCCTGGCCGCGACACGTGCCTGCAGGGCCGCCTCCAGTACCGCAGCCCCCGCTGCTGCCACTGTGCCGGATGTCCCGGGGGCAAGGGGCACCTCCCCACGCTGCTGCTGGCCGTGTGCGAGTGAGTGGTCAGCCTCAGGGAGAAGCGCCGTGGTGGTGCCTGGCTCTCAGGCGGAGGTGGGCAGCGGGGCTGCGGGGGCCAGAGCTGCCGCCTGGGAACGGCCGAGGGCCGGGGAAGAGGCAGGTGAATCGTCAAGGGCCATCCCTGCTCCAGGGCTGGTGTGTGCGTGGAGACAAAACAAATTCCTCCTTCAATACCTCCTTGTTTCCTCCTCTGTCTTGCACCTCCCAACATCTGGTAGCATCCAGCGGAGGTGGATTGATGCTGCTAAAGTCATAATATATCAGCGCAGTTGCAAACAGCACCAGCATCCCCGTGATCATGACTGACACGGCATTTCCTGCAGCTCAACCTCTCGCCGTCCCCTGGCTTGGCTCTCGCGCCTGTCCCCTGGGGCCACCAGGTCTGAAAATGTCACCAGGATGGGACAGGAGGGTCAGCCGGCAGCTCTGGGTGCCGTCTCCCCACCTTGGGTGTCCGTGGTGCCTGTCCAAGTCTCCTGATGCTGCTTCCAGCCGTGGGGCTGTTTTGAGGCAAAACACGCAGCAACTGGGAAAAGCATTTCACCTGGTGAACTTGCTGTGGGAGGTGGCCGGGGCCAGCTCTGAGCTCACTGCCCGTCCCTCCTTCCAAACCTGCTGCTTCGCTCCTGGTGGGCTGTTTGCAAGGAGCCGGTGCTGCTGTGGGAGCTGTATTTGCTGGATCCATGCTGTCCCATGGCTGCCAGCGGCCTTGGCGTGCCAGGGGGCCAGGGTGAGCTCCCAGCGGCACCCCGAGACCCACCGGGACTTGGGGGCTCCGCACGGTCCGACCCTGCTTGTACAGCCTCCCTGTGCCCCCGGGGACACTGTGGTGATGTGCTGATTTGCCTTGCAGGGGAGCCGTGCCCGCAGCTCTGGGACGAGGATCTGGTAGGGGACAAGTATGAGAACATAACGGGTAAGGAAAGCCCCTCTCGCCCCGCAGATGAGGACCCCGTGCAGCCCTGACTCCCTGGGGATGGGCTCTGCGCCCTGCCTGGAGAGCATCAGCCCTCGGCACCCGTGCCAGGGCCAGGTCTCACCTCCTCCGCTCTGTCCTGCAGGTTTTAACCTGATTAAAAGGTTCGACCTGCTGAAGATCTCCTCCATCAAGAAAGTCCGCAACCCGAGGGGGCCGGTGGTGCTGCGGCTGGGCGCCGTGCCGCTGGTCCAACCCACGCAGTGAGTGTGGGCGGCTTGTGGGGTGGCCCTCGGTGGCCAAAGCACCACCAGGCACCGTCCCCACGTGTTTTAAGGATGGGGCCTGGGCGAAGCTCGTTAGGCTTTGCCCTTAGCTCGTGCTGGACAGTCCAGGCAGCTCCGCAGCACCTGGGGGGACACAGAGGTGCTGGTGGTGCAGCCCCAGGGATGCCCAAGCCACCTTCCTCCTAGAAAGTAAATCATGGGCTGCAGCAGCTCGGCTGGGTCATGGCCAGCCCTTACGCAACTGCGGCTCTGTGGCTGCTCTGTGTCTGCTCTCCCCAGCTTGGCAGGCGCTCGCCAGGGTCTAGACAAGCTCGAAACACTGCACAGCTCCAAGCAGGCACTGCTGGGTTTGCTGGGGCCACGGGGGTCTGCTGGGGGAGGCACATGGAGACTGGCCCTCGGCCCCACCGTCTCCGGCACGTCCTGCCCAGCTATGCCCAAAGCCGTGCTCACTGTCGTGCTGCCCCGCAGGGCTGGGGCTGGCAGGGATGCTGCAGCGTGGCAAGGTGGGAGGAGGTCCATGTCCTCAGAAGCTGTTCCTGGAGGAAGCTGCTGCGGTTTGCACGCCTGCCTCCTCCAGCCCGCCTGTCCCCACATCGCCTCAGGGCTGGCATGCAGCTACGCTGGGCACGGGGCTCTCCCAAGGGTGAAGGAGACCCAGCCTTGGTTCCTGACCTGGGCAGCCAAGTCCTTAGATGGCTTTGAGATGGCGGATGCTCCAGGCTGGTGTTGGTCTTGGCCAGGTGCCTGCGGCAGCCCAGAGCCAGCCCTGGGGAGTGCTCAGCACGGAGGTGGCCCCAGCAGCCAGGTTGCGAGCCCCGGGTGAGCACCCGTGGGTGCCTCTTTACCCTGGCCCTTGTTCCTTGGTGCCCCACAAGGACAGCCCCGTGCCCCACAGAGAGCGGAGGGGACCGCTGGGTCTGGCTTGCTTCCCACGCCTTGGTCCCGCTCCAGAGCGGTGGTTTGGAAAATTGCTGGTGCGGTGGAGCCGAGGCCGGGAGCTGAGCGGAGCCTGAAGCAAATATTTCTAGCGGTTGAGCGGGCTGCGGGCGAGCTTGGCACGGTCCCACTGGGGAATGGCTGCCATGCTCCCCGCCATGCGAGGGGGGAACCAGGCTGCCGGCGGGAGGTGGGCACCACGGCTGCCCCCAGCCCACTGCCTGCGTGGGAGTATCTGTCCCACAGAGCTCGCGGCGTCAGGGACACATTTCCCGGCTGCCTGGAGAGAAAATTCAATACTGTGGTGGTAAGTGCATGGCCCCGGGTGCTGCAGCTGTCCCAGGAGGGCCATGTTTGGGGATGCGCGGTGGAGACAGTGGCTGTGCCGTGGGGCAGGGATGGGGATGGCAGCTGGAGGTGCCTGGGGCAGGCTGGCCTGTCCGCTTGCGCGGGGATGCTCAGTCCCCTCCGCCGTGTGGGCGTCCAGCCGGTGCGAGGGATGCAGGGCTGCGCTTTGGGGGAACGGTCCAAACTCTCCGTGCCTCGCCAGGACGGGAGGAAGCGTCTCTGCCGTCTGCCTCATGTTCAGCTCCTGTTGCGTAAGTGCTGGCATCTCCAGCAGCCACAGCCCGCGTGTTCAGCCGAGACACAAACAGCTCCAGGTCCAGGTGCTGCCGCGTAGGGCTGGGGCTGGATCCGCCCCGATGGCATCCACGGTGCCACTGATGGGGACAGACCCAGCGGGACCCATGGGGGCTGTTGGGGTGATGCTGCTAGTGGGTGCCGTGTGGGTGTTGGGGCCGGTGCTGCTGCCGGCCTCGGTGCAAATGCCAGCATCGGAGCTCGGTGCAGGGTCCGGCCGCCCCTGATGCCTGTCCCCGCAGGCAGGTGTTTCCCCACGGGCTGCCCCCCGCCTTCACCCTCGTCCTCACCTTGCTGCTGAAGAAGAACAGCACCGGGGAGCATTGGTATCTCTTCCAGGTCACCGACCGGCAGGGCTACCCCCAGGTACGGCCCTGGGGCGGCGGGACGCACCAGCGGCAAGGGGACAGCCGGGAGCCGTCCCCGAGCATGGTGTTGTTCCCTCTCTGCTCAGCTCTCCCTGGCCGTGCACGGCCCCGAGAAGAGCCTGGAGTTTCAGGCCAGGGCGCCGGGGACCACGTTTGTCAGCGCCGTCTTCGCGGGGAAGGCCGTGGCGTCCCTCTTCGATGGGCGGTGGCACAAGGTGGTGGTGGCTGTGCAGAGCCGCGCCATCTCCGTCCACCTCGACTGTGCCTCCATCTCCTCCAAGCCTCTGGCACCCCGGCGGGCGCTGGCCCTGGAGGGCAACACCTTCCTGGGGCTGGATGCCATGCGCGGCACCCCGATCCGGGTGAGTCCCTGTGGGGGTGCGGACACGTTCTGCTTGTGGTGCAGGATCCGTCCCAGCCTGCCCCTGACCTGCCACCCCCTTCCCACTGCAGTTCGACATCCAGCAAGCTCAGATCTACTGTGACGCCGAGCTGGCCAGGCAGGAAGGGTGCTGCGAGATCTCAGCCAGTGGGGTGAGTCCCCCCGAGCCCCCACCCCGGTCCCAGCCGGGCCCTGGCATTGCCCTGCACGGTCAGGGGTTTCCCCAGAGGGGAAACTGAGGCACGGCGAGGGCAGGTCTCTTTAGCCAGAGCTCCCCTGTGGGTCACCTCCTGCTCGTGGTGGCTGGGGACGCAGGGCAGCTCTCCACCAGCCCTGGGACATCACTCGATGCGTGTCCCCGTAGCCAGCGCAGGGCATGGTGCAGGATGCATCCCTCTCCCAAATCGCACTGGGTGCTCGGGCAGGGCTGGGGCTCCTGGCTCTCACCCCAGCAGCCTCTCATGACCCCCCTCTCTCCCGGCAGTGCCTTGTGGAAGTGCCCAAGACCCGTCGGCAAGCAGAGCTGATGCAGAGCAGCAACCTCATCGAGATCTCGCCGCAGCCCGAGGGCCGGGTGTACACCCGCTGCTTCTGCCTGGAGGAGCCGCTGGGCGCGGTGAGCTCCCGGCATCGCTCCGGCAGCCTGGCACAGGTCCCCATCCCGGTGCGGGATGCTCCTATCCCCACAGGGTGGGCAGCGCTCGGCTGCTGCGCTGGGTGCCTGGTGCTGCCGAGCCGGCAGCCACGTTGATTCAGCTCCTGGAAAAGCCCTGTCTCACATTTTCCACTGCGCCAGGCTCGATGCGAGGGGAGGGAGGGAGTTGGCGGCAGCCAGACGCCAGGGATTGAGGGAGGGGAGGGCTCCTGCAGCCCCGCCACCGGTCTGCACCGGCTAAGCCGCTGGCTCGGGGCTCAGCCCGAGGCAGGTCGCACCCATGGGTGCCCCACACAGGATAACCTAGGGGTGCATGGGGAGGTAGCACCTGGGAGTGCACAGCCAGCATAATCCAGGGTGCATGGGGAGGTATCACCCAGGGGTGCACAGGCAAGTAGCACCCATGGGTGCTCTGCTCTCTCCACAGCAGCCGGCAAGGACCTCAGGGAGGACTGGCCTGAAGGGAGATCACGGGGAGAAGGTGAGGGGAGGTGGGAGAGGGTGTCCCTGCCCGGCTGCACCAGTCCCGGCACTCCTGGCTCCACTCCCCCTCCTGCTGGTGCCGGTGCCGTGCAGGGGTCCATTCGCTCCCCAGGCTGGGTCTGTCCCTGCTCCATTCGGGAACTTTCTGCTGCTGCCAGAGCTGCAGGGACGCCTGCAAAAGCGGCTGCTCTGCTCCCCCGAGCAGGAATTGAGGCCCCACTTAGCTCTCTGCTGCTGCTGGAGCGATCCCAGCCGTGGCCAAGGGCCTCTTTGTTCCCTCTGAGCGTCTCCGGAGCGCTGCCGGAGCTGGGAAGCATCTCCAGCATGCTCCATGCCCCATCCTTGCATGGCCCTGTCCCCCCGGGGCTGCTCTATCTCCACAGTGGGATCCTGCTGGGGATCCCCAGGGTGCAGACCAGGTCCCACAGTGTGGGCTGGGGGCCATGGGGCTGCTGGGGCTACGAGCCTGCCCGGCTTTTCTTTTCACCCTCTGCTGCATGTCGCTTCCCTGCAGGGTGACAGGGGACCCCCGGGCAGCCAGGGACACCCAGCGAGGGGGTGAGGTGTGGGGCTGGCCCCGGCTGGGGAACGGGAGCCTGGGGGGCTGCACTCAGCCCTGCCGGCACCTGGGCGCGGGGTGTGGGCAGCCCCGTCATGCCCGGCCCCGGTCCCGTGGGAGCACGCTGGAGTAGCTGGTTTGGCCCGGCGGAGCTGCGGTCAAGCGGACCCCCGGGCAGCCAGGGACACCCAGCGAGGGGGTGAGGTGTGGGGCTGGCCCCGGCTGGGGAACGGGAGCCTGGGGGGCTGCACTCAGCCCTGCCGGCACCTGGGCGCGGGGTGTGGGCAGCCCCGTCATGCCCGGCCCCGGTCCCGTGGGAGCACGCTGGAGTAGCTGGTTTGGCCCGGCGGAGCTGCGGTCAAGCCACAAAGCCGCAGGGAGGCGGGGGGCATGCGGTCAAGCCACAAAGCCGGAGGGAGGGGCGGGTGCCAGGCCAGCCGCTCTCCTCGCCGCCCCGGGGATGCGGCAGGGGGGAAATGCTCTCCTCGGTTTTCCCTTCTCCGCCACGGGCATCCCCCTGTGCCCACGGGCACCCTGGGGCTGGCAGGGAGAGGTGCTGCTGGGTGAGCCCCATGGGTTTGGAGGGCCCAGGGCAGCAGGGCGGTGGCCGTGGGGTTGCGGGTGCTGCAGGGTTTCGGGTGCTGCGGGCAGTGAATGGAGCTGGTGCAAGCCACCATCCCTGTCTCTTCCAGTGCCCACCCTGCTCACCGCAGACGGCCTCGGCAAATGTGAGTGTGCTGCCGGGCAGCACCGGGCTGTGCTGGCGGGAGGAGATGGGGACCCCGACCCATTTGCTGGGGCTGGGCTGTGAGCTGGGGCCAGCAAAAGCCACCAGGGTGCTGGCCTGGGGGTGTCACCTGCAGCTCTGCCATCGCTGCCAGCCCCCTGTGACCCGCAGCTTGGCAGCATCTGGTTGTGGGAAAGGTCTCTGATCCCTTCCAGATGTGGCCCCATTCCTATGGCAACCTCTGTCTGGAGTCATGGGGCTGAAGGCAGGGGGACGGTGGATGTTTGGGACCCCGTGTGCCCCATGGGGCTCCCGGGGTGGCACTTGGGGACAGGGTGATGGGAGGATGGGGACCGCAGCGGGGACAAGGCTCTCTCCTGCTGCCGTTTGAATGCAGTGTGCCCTTGTGGGGCTCCGGGTGCTGCGGGACACCTTTCTCCTCTCTCCCTAGGTCACGCTTGGTCCCCCGGGTCCAAAGGTAGGTTTGTCACCCCCCAGGACACGCAGAGCCCAGCTCTGGCAGGGATGGGGCCATGCAGACCCTCGGCTGTGCCCGGAGCATCCCTGCCCGGGAGCGGTGGGCCCTGCTGTGGGCACACGTGTGGACATGGGGACACCCATTCCCCGCCTTGTCACCCGCACCTCCCCTCTCTTGCAGGGCGGGAAGGGCGAGCGCGGCCTGCCCGGCACCGCTGGTGGCAAGGGGGAGAAAGGCGACCGCGTGAGTGTCCCCAGCCGCGTCCCAGGCAGGGACCCCCCTGCCCTGGGGGTGCTCCCTGCGGGGGTCCCCAGCACATGGGGGTCCCCCTGCCCTGGGGAGCGC